TGTGTGTGTGTGTGTGTGTGTGTGTGTGTGTGTGTGTGTGTGTGATCAGCAACATCCTTGGCAACAGCATGGGGAACTGTCAAAACAAAACTGCTTAATGACATGTTGATATACTCGTATCAACATTCCTTTATTTCATTTTATTTTTTAAAATAAAAGTATTCCTTCACCGAGACAAATCGACTTGCTCTAAAGCCGGCACCTTTTCCATTTCAGGATAATTATAACACTGACATGTTTTGGCAAGGAAAGGTTGTTTTTTTTAAAACAACTAGTTTCAAGCTGACAAACATTGCCCATTAAAAAAATCATTACAATGTCATGAAAACTGGTCCATATATAAAATTAGATTTAAAAATAAAAGCAAATGAATGCCTTTTCAGTAAAAAAAATTGTGAACATCTGCAAAGTTGTTTACCTCTGACAATAAGTCAGTGATGTGCTGGTATTTATGTTCAGAAATTATAAGCACAGTATAAGAGCTTTGTTGACACCATATTTTGGAGTTTCATATTATCATATCTGGAAAATTACTGGATTAAACTCTTTCAATGTGCATCATTTGATATTACAGGATAACCTCTTTTATGTATTTTATTTCTGCAATAGTAGCCTACTAATAACAATGTAGACTACTTCATCATAACTTTATCATAAGTGATGAAGTAAATATTTTATTCCCCATCCAGACCTATAAGTAAATAGYGCTGCATCTATATGAATTAAAAGATTTTTCACCCTAACTTGAAAATTGYAAAAATATTACTGCAGTAAATTATGCTGAGTGAAGTTTTTCGCCTCTAACTTTGAAGCCATGTGGGAACCGGTCGTTGCTAGCCTAGTCACGTGTCACTCAACGTCACCGTGCGTAATGACGTACTTCCTGTTCTCGACGAWGTTCCCCCTTTGCTCACCACCTCGCTGTGACGGCGATGTTTTGGTGAGTGGGGGGAAAAAAATACTGCGTCGAAAACGGACGTAAACACGTTTAAAAACATGTCGTTTCGGTCGAGCGGGACCTAAAGGCTACATTGCCGGGGAAAGGACGGACGTCGCCGCGGCGGAGGTCTCCTCCGAGCAGCTCGTTTATGTATTCCTCCGCATGTCCGCGGCTTTCTTCGTAGATGGTCTCCGGCGAGCGTCGTCTGATTGCAGAGCTCTCGACGAGTAACATGAAGGAGATGATTGGAGGTTGCTGCGTGTGCTCGGACGAACGAGGCTGGGCGGAAAACCCGCTGGTCTACTGCGACGGACACGGCTGCAACGTCGCCGTGCATCAAGGTAAGCTGGGACGTTAGCTAAGCTAGCACCTAGCATTTAGCCTGGATGCTAGTTAGCGTCGCTGGAAGGTTATGGAGCCTCTTCCTCCTCCTGCTGATCCTGTTTTTCACCGAGCTGAGGCCAGGCTCAGCTCATGCTGCTGGTCTCCAGTGCTTTGAGCCTGCATGTAGATGATAGTTGGCAGCGAATGAATGAACACGTTTCTGGCTCCGAGCTGCGCTATTGTTTTGTTGTCAGAAGCTGCCATTTAGAATAAGAATAAGAATAGAGGGACACTGCTYTTGTCAAAATGTGTTCACTTCACGGGAAAGACTCAGTGAGGCCATGACCTTGCTTTGTGATACAGAGGTGTGCTTTCAAAACAGTAATCCAAACTTCATCTAAAAAACAAATAAAAGAATAAAAAAATGTCTGTGTTTGGATTATATGTTTTACAGCAGCTGTGCTCAACAAAGATGACTCACAAAAGTTCTCTGTTTACATTTGTAAGCACCAGCCATGTGTTCATTTGGTAAACACAGACTGAAAAGTATTTTAGCTGTCAGCATGTCTGCTCTGATGGTCAATGTCAGTTTGTTTGTTTGCTGCTGTTTTAGCCTCCTAATACAGGCGTCTTGTTTTAGTTTGACTAGATACAATGTGTGCTCTGTCACATAAAAACAGCTCTTTAATTTAGTCACATTTTTAAATGTTTGTTTTTCTGTGTTGAGTATAACCTCGGTCCTGAAAAAGATGAGATGGCATGCAAAATGTAAATAAAAATCAAATGCAATGATTTGCAACGACTGTGTTTTACGAAGATCTGTGGAAGTGTTCCCGAATTCATGCAGGGGTGTCCAGAACTGAGTCAGACTAGTTTTTATTGTTGAGCCTGAAGATCATCTCTGTCTCCTGAGCTCAAATTTCTCCAAATTAATTAATAGTTTTGATGATGTTATAAACTGTAATCGATGGGGTTTTGAAGTCTTTCCTTGTTTTCATTGTGTAACATTATTCTGAGTCCCCCCCCCCCACTGTCCTTCTTTAATTCTCAGAGATTCAGTCTCTCTAAAAGGTTTCTTTTTAAACTCAATCCTCTTACTAACCTGTTGCCAGTTAGTCTAATTAACTGCAAAATTCTCCATCAGTTGTTTCTTATTTGTACCACTTACAACCTTTTGTTACCCGTTAATGTTTTTGAGAAGTATTCATACCATCTAATTTAAGTTACCCTAATTTTCAAGGAAATTGTACAATTTATTAGTTTACTATGTTCTGTTGGGAATAGATGCTATTTTCAAATCATTACATTCTGTTTTTATTTACATTTTACACAATGATCCAACCTTTTCACAATCTGGTTTATGAAAAACAAATGATTATTTTTATAATCGATTAATCACCGATTATTTTTTCGATTAATCGACTAATCGGATCATACGTTATTTGAATATAAAACATAGAGCTTATCGCGCCAGAATGCAGCTGCTATTATATAACCATGGTTAGATTTTAGCTATATGTTAACTAAAAATAATTGCTGTGGAAGGCAAGTTCTGCTCTGCAGATATTACACAGGTTCTNTTACTTTGACCTAAAGAATAGAGAAGGTTCCAGAGGGACTGACAAATTGCACGTTTTGTAAAAGTACAATATGCTGTGCTGAGCACTGAAGAAGCTAAAACTGAGCTAAAGCTACAAGGAACAAACACTTGCTAAAGGCCAAATGTAGCAATATGGTAGCAAAATACTAGCTAGTAGCTACAATCTAAAAGTAATAGCAAAAATGGAGCTTAAAAAGCAGAACGTTAGCTAAAAGCCATACGTTGCAAAAGGCTAGTTAAAAGCTAAAGTAGCGAAAGGGTAGCTAAAAGTAGCAAAAACAGTGCAAGTATGCTAAAGCATATTTTAAATTAACCATGTTTTTGAAAAAAAAAAAAGAATATATTTATATAAATAT